AACATTCCATATACAAAACATTAAAATGTTATAGCTTATCAGATTTAGACACTCTCTACTCTTTGAGTCAAAATAATTCAGGATTGATTTACAACGTATGTTCCTCTTTCTGTTCAACATTTTCCCCCAAATACCATCAGAACAAATCTGAATCCAGTAATAGAGAATTTATAATTGTTCCATTTAATTGCAAATTCATTGATAATCTTAACCTAAAATCTATTTTCTCTGACACTTCAGTCATTGATTTGCTTCCCATTTTGATTCAGTCTTTTACACCATTACAGATTTATTATGAGTATAATGATCCTATAAGTCTTTCTATTCGTAACTATGCTTCATTCTTAAAGAAACTTTCTATTTCTGATATTAAATCTATTTTAGGTAGTCCATGCGATTGTCACTCCTCCCCTTTCAATTATCCTCCTCATGGACATGTAGTTACTGGTAATTTAGATATTGTTGATAATGTTGAACTTAGGGAAGTACTTTCCTACGGTTGTAAATACAGAATTCCCACATTTAAATCTCCAGATGAGATATATATGTCAGTTACCGAAGCTGTCGATAAATTTATAAAATCAAAAAGTAGAAAGTACTGTCAAAAAGAAGTAAAGTTCAGCGATTGGAAGGAAAAAGTGTTATCAATAGTTTCCAATCGTATTGAATATTACAAGAAAAACTTTCCTGAAACGTTTGAAATAAAAGAAAACACACTGGAAAAAGATGATGTTAAAAGAAGTCTTAAATTGCTGAAAAGTAAATACATTATTTGTAGTATCGACAAAGCTTCTGGCAATTTTTCATTTATTTGTAAAAAGTTTTATGTAAAAACTCTTGTCAATGAAATGGGTTTTGATCCTAATACTCTAGAATGTATAGGTAATGATACATATAAACCCTGTAGCGAAGACGAGACTCATTATGTCAATAAAATATCTGAGAGTCTAAAGGAGAGATTTAATGTACAAGTTGAAGATAAAAACTTGCGACTAGCACGCATCTTCTGGAACCCTAAGCTTCATAAGAACCCTTACAAGGCGAGGTTCATTGCAGGTGCCCGTTTTTGCGTTACGAAACAACTTAACGTCCAAGTTAACTGTTGTCTGAAACTTTTGAGGAAATACTTCAAGAAATACTGCGAGGCAATCTACAACAACAGCGGTATAAACATGTTTTGGAGCATAGATTCCTCAAGTGAATTCCTTGAAGCTATCAAAAATAGCGATGTTTATAATATACAAGTATATGATTTTACTACTCTTTATACCAGATTAGACTTGATTGAAGTAGAGAATATGATTAATGAAGTTGTTGATTTAATATTTTCAGACCGTAATAGATATATTTGTATTTCTAAAAGAGACAGTAATACATGTTTCTTTTCCAATAAAACCTATGATTGTCATGCCTGCTTTAGTCAAGATGACCTAAAAGAGGCTGTCAAATTTATTATTTATAACACTTATGTCGTCTTCGGTGGGATTGTATTCATACAAACCAAGGGTATTCCTATGGGTGGAAATTCAAGTTCCCCTATAGCTGATCTCACTGTTGGCAAAAAGGAATTTAATTATATGAAACGTTTACTTCAGGAAAAGAAAATGAGATTAGCAAAGATATTATCCAATAATAAACGATATGTTGACGATTTATCTATTATTAACTACCTTTACTTTCATAAATTGATTAAAGATATTTATCCTAATTCATTGGAGATGGAGCGAGCTGGTTCCAATAATAAAATCATTAACTACCTTGATTTAAATATTAATATTTCCACAGAAGGACTAGAAATATCAGTGTATAACAAAACTGATGATTTTAATTTTCATGTTGTATCCCTTACATTTCCTCACAGTAACATCCCAACCGAGGTTGGCTACAACGTTTTTTCAAGTCAAGTTCTTAGATATGGTAATGTTTGCACTAGATTGGATATCTTTACCTCCCATCTTCACAAAATATTCAAAATTCTAATTGATAGAGGATATAGCCGTGATAGACTGATTAAAGGCATTAAACGTTGTCTGAGGAAATATGATAACGTTTTCAGGAAGTTCGGTATTCTAGATGACCGTAACATTATTAAAGAACTCCCCTGATATCTTTTGATTTATTGAAACACGGGTACTAACTCTGCTAAACTGAACAAATTCTGAATCTTAGGTGAATAAGTGTACAACGTGCTAAACCGAAGTTCAGACTGACCAGTGAAAATGGGCGAGCGTACCAAGTGTCATTTTAATTAGAAGTTTTAGTCAGTGATTTATTTTTGAAGCTTGTAATTACAATATCTTATGCTCCTATAAATACTTTAATTAATTGTTTGTCCCGTTATTCTTTTTCCTTCCTCTTTTCCTTGTCATCCCCTTTAGTTTTAAGATTCTTGCTATAAATGGCTACAGCTAACACTATTAATGCTAAGTACCAAACAACAAGTGGGAGGTGGATCGTTGGTACCATTAAATCGATTTAACACCGCAATTCCAGTCGCAAGCCTGGGACCACTACTAGCATAGTCACAACATCTGCAAAGCTGCCATATAGCCTGACTGACAATTTTCTCGACTGCCTGACAATGTTTCTTCTTTTTTCCCCATTTAGAATACAAAGATTAGTACATTTTAGCTTATGATTAATATTATATTTTTACCTATAGTTTACTTAGATTCCAAAGTTAGGCCCCTAACGGTAAGGTTTCCTGGGGAGTCCAACTCGGCGCGCGTTTTGTATTGGTAGGTTATAAACCTACAAGTAATTTCCCGTTACAACAAAACTTGTAGGTTCAAGGTTCTGGTTAGTGTTAAATCACTCTACAGCTGATCGATCAGATCTCGAAGATCATGATCTTCGAGATTGTTCTAAATGGCCCCCACAGTTAAAACCAACTTCAATCAATGTATTTTCGGACGCTGATTCCAAATCACCCCTCCCCCATGACATAGAGTTAAAACGCTGCCCTAAAGAGATATTGGCGAAAAACTGTCTCGATCACGTGATATGATCGTATATAAGGAAGTTAGTCTAATTTCTCGTTAGGGTCAGGGTTTCAGCGTATGTTTTTGTTAAGGATTGGGTTAGAGTTAGGGTTTGGATCAGATTAGAGAGTTGGGGTTTCGAAAAGTCTTTTAACTTCAGGACCAGCTAGAGAACAGAGAACGGGTTGAAAAAGTCACGTGACAGTCGAGTGTAGAGTGATTAATCATCATCCCGACACGATATCACATAATATACAGAACCCCCGGCCTTCACTCTTGCAAAATTTTAAGATTTCATTTTGTGTCGTATTCACTTTTTCACACGTTATTTGTTATTTTAATAATTTGAATCGTGTTTGGTACAGTTTACCAATAATAATTTAACATTTTACTATCATGCAGATAACTTGGTTGATGATGTCAATGATTCTGCATTTGTAGTACTGAGTATATATGCTTTTCCGGTCTCGTTGAAGTTACCACCAGATCACAATCTCATACAAACATGAACAAAGATACATTATAAGCTCAAAGTTGCTATCTAAGGGATATAACTACAATAGTAATACCGACAAGCAACAATTTAAAGGTCTTATAGAATGTAAACAATTTAAAGGTCTTATCTAGAATATTTTAACGTTCCTTAGTTCACCACGAAATTCTCATAATATAAGCTCAATCTTACTAGCCAACTTCCGAGCGTGCTTTAATATTTATATAATCACTATAATACACACTCGAACTTCGAGATTTTTATTAGAGGGCCCCTTTTATTTGCAGTTGGAACCAGTAGTAGAAGTTGAAATTTGCTGAAGTTAGCTACATCTTGGTTACAGTAAAATCTACCAAGTACACACCAATTTATATTCAATTGGCAAGAGCAAAGACTGAACTTCGATTCTTCCCCATTTCATTAATTATTCGTCTACGGTATACCCAATTACTCAATTAGTGTGAACGTGAACACAGTATGAACTTGAAAAAACTTGGAATTGAATTTTATCGTGGAGAGAGTCAATCGACGTACATAACTAGCAGCCACATTTTAAATTTCTCACAAATGACACAAGTCACAACTAGGATCTTAGAGTGCTAAAAAAACCACTATTAACATGATTGAGTGTTTAAAAGGACACAGATAATGGCTGTTAGAGCGCAGAGATTATTAGTGAAAAAGGATATGATGTTTCTTCCTGGTTTAAAATGAAGAAATAGGTGTCTATTTTGGTTTCTCAGGTCACTCGATTGTTTTTAATTGTCGTTTAATAGGTACGTTGCCATAACAATTTTTGCGCTTCTGTCTACATGATCAATTGATTCGGCTGCCGCGCGTGCCGTTTGTTCAGCGTGTACCCACGTTTATTAACCAGATGTATTCTCGGTATTTGTGGCGCGGCCCACATCTAGTCTTGTCCCTATCTTGCCATTTGCCTATTAACGAGCTATTACCAGTATGATCGAATACTAATTATTTAATTAACTTTATTAACAAATCATGGGGGCTAGTTGCGCCACAATGTTAGTAAAAAAACCTGACACGTCTTGAGATGGTTTATTTGACAATCTAATATCATTGGTTTACCTTCATAGTACTTACTGTAATCATTATATACCAAACACATACGCTGAAGTCTGAGCCACTCTAAACGGTGAGATATAACGTGCCACAAATATTGAGAATACAGCGCCTCCCACGTTATGGCTGACCAAAAATACAATGATAGGCTCATTTCAAGCCTCAAAGATTGAAGGAGATTTTTCTAGAATATCGAACAGAATCATCCGAAAGGTTCTTAAAGGATGTTTGTGATTAAATATTTTGACTTGACGACATCGGATTGGCCCCATAGTCCATACAAATTTATAACTTCTACAGAATCAATTTATGGCAATCGGGTCATATTATTTGCTTGAATTTACATAACAAGCACTGAAAACTAACATTTGATAATCATTGAATGGATCCTTTAGACCAGTTTTGCCGCGCCAGTAACTATTGGAAGAAAAAGAAAACAGATCTTTAAAAGTTACCACAACACCATTTTCTTAAAATCGTGTTAGTTAACATGACAGCAATAGATTATTAGTGAAATGTTTAGGGGAGTCGAGAGTACAAAGACGCTTTTAAATTGATTGCTTGACAAGTACCTCTTAGAGACATAGTGCCGGCAAGCGTGCAATAAATCAGTACATACTCAGTAGTCAGTACACAACAGAGGTTATTATCATACGATTTGCCGTCTCTGTCCTCAAGCAGGTATGATAAACTGATGGAATTGAAATTGCTGCCGATTAAGAAACGATAAAGATATGATAAGCACGATGATGGCGATTAAAGAAATGCCAGTATAATTATATCGGCGTGCTATGCACATACAGCCCGGTAAACACATAATAATGCTGCTTCTTAAAACCCTATCTAATAGTAATAAGCAACTCTCCACAATATGTCGACCTTCCACAAGAACATGAGTTGTACTTCCGACCGCGACAATGGTGTTTTCTCACACACACTGCTGATTGAGACCCACAGAGCGGAGTGTTCAGGACACAGCTGTGGGCAAGACAGTTGCTGTTGGAGTGATTGGCTGAGCTGAGTCTCCCTCTGCCTCTGGATCTGGAGTGGTGTTCTGATGAATTGCCATGGCAACCATGTCTCTGATCATATCACGTTGCTCTTGTTTAGTGAGCGATGCATCGTCAACATCTTCTAGTCTTAGTGCGTCCAGGTTGAGCTGAAACAAATGAATTACATTCTAGCCTAATTCACTCCAACTTTAGTGTCATATGCAGTAAAACTTACAGAGGATGTATCTAGAATCTACAGGTTCATTCTGATCACACTTAACTAGTGAATCGAATTTAATAATCTTAGGGCGATGAAATTACTTACATTCTTATATTTGAGCTTCTCGATGTTTCTAGTAAGTTTCAAAACCCCAAGGGAATCCTTAAAGACCAGACTTCCCGGATCTAAAGTCATGTGTTCAGCAATGTCGGGCTGGATTATAGAAGGTGGTTTACCAACTATTGTAGAGATCTGGTGCGACACCATGTCAGTGGGTGATTGGAGAGAAGGTCTGCAACAGATTACAATTGTTAATTATATTTCAGAGGAGGATAATTAAGTTTGGGGTTAAGGTGAACTATGTTAGTTCAATTGTGGGTTGTCGAGGTAATACTATACCCAATTTTAGCGACTTATTCGCCACAATTTGCATCTTATGAACACTGGGTTACATAGCATTACGGAGAGTCGTTCGGATAAATTAACGAGAAAATGAATGGTATTGTTGTATCGTGCAGTGGCATGGTATTGGAATTTGGCCAAGAGTTGGGTTACATGGACACTGGTGGGAGGGGGAGAGGTGGAGTGGAGGAGGGGGGAAGAGTACTGTAAAACTCACTCGTATTGATCTAGCGCTTCAAAGGAAGGAGGGAGTAGATTAACCCCAGAACTTGTAGAGAGAACACTGACCGCATCACCAGCTGAACTGCTCATCAGAGAAGCTTCACTCATCGCAAAATCGTCGAACCTAAGTCAGCAGTGAATAAAAGAGCAGAAACAAATCCTTAAATTCCTATTTTTAGCTGAAAATATCTTCAATCAAAAAATCTAGTAAAACTTACATTTTCTTCAGTTCATGAATAGCTTGCTCATAGAAGAGCCGCCTCCTGACAGACTCTAGTGCACCCTGAAGTAACATTACCCCACAAGAAATTGGTCCCACAGCCCCGGCCTGCCTGGCGGCGTCCACCAGAGAATCAGACATGGTGTCACTCAGCATCTTACAAACATCATCCACGGAAAGATTGTCTATAGGATCGTTAAACATGTCACTCCAGTTTATCTCATCTCCTGCTTGACTCTGAGGAGCGGTTACTTTGTCATTAGAGATCATTTTATTAGAAACACAAAGTTGAGCTGCGTAATATTATGATATGCCAGGTTGCATTGGAAATAATTATCTTTATGTTTAATGTTTATATAAATAATGGTCGTATTGATGAGTACTTTTCATTGTTATAGAATCTGTTGTAATATATTGAAAGAATCGTAACAAAATGAATAAATTCTAGCATCCAATCATTTTCGAATCTATAATTTTCCATATTTCCAAACTGTAGATTTTACATATTAACATAATTTCTCTGAAATGTTATCAATGCACCAGGAAATAGAGTAAACGGCACTAGCAATATTACTCGCTGCGCCAAGGAGAGGAGTGTGACATACAAGTAATGGGGAAGGTTTTCTTGGCTGTAAAGAGTAAACATGGAGAGACTTGGGAGGGGCCGAGAAACTTTAATGAGTTTTAAAAAGTAATCAAGTTTAAATAATAACTGCATTTGACTTTTATGCTAAGCAATGAAGAAGATATTTAGTAAACAATATCCTGCCTGCAGAAAATTGCACCAAAAGTACCCTAGACAAGCCTGGATTAAAATGTGACTGGTGCTTTCAATTCTTTATTGTGTCATGAAATCCATAAAATTTCTTCATGTTAGAAGAAAAAATATCATATTACGGGGAAAACCCTGAAAATCATATCCCCCATATTTTTGGCGCAGGAGTGCATTAGAACTTAAGCAGTTTTTTTTGGAGCTGTTAAGCTGAAACTCTGCTTTATGATAAAAAAGAAAAAGCCTCCAGGATAAAAGCTAAAATTAAAAAAATGTATGACCACACTATACTAATTAACCAAAAGCTAGTAAGAAAAGAAAGGGCTATTCATTAATTCATTAAAATTCCCCGCGAAAATGAACTGAATACGGATTTTTGAGACAAAAACGTGCTTCCAAAAAGATTAACACGTCAGCAAGTGATATTAGAAAAGAAACAGATTCCAATCAAGCAGGCTTACAAAGAATTAATGAAAATTAGTCCATTTCGCGTACATGCAGGCAGCGAGGAAAAATAAGATAATGAGGAAAAATAAGATAACAACAAACATGCTAAAGTTTATAGATAACCAATGAAGTTTGAATGAGGGGATGGTAGAGTTCCTGCTTCACTAAACGCTGGATATCCACCGGTTTCTCATCACAGCTGCACTTGACTTCGAGATAATACTTGACTCTGCATAAAATATGTTCAAAGCTCCACTGTCATATTGTGGACATGCCGGACAGCTCCACAAGCAGTGTCTCATCACGGTATCATCCCCTTATCATCTCAACCTCGTCATCCTCAATCTCCTCAGAGATCCTGCCTTCCAGTTTGCTTCTGTACCCACTCTGACGACTCTTCCCAGCACCAGCTTCCACTCCGTCTGCTTTGTCTTCATTTGCTTCGGTGAATTTCTTTGCAAGCATGCAGGTCGCCATTTTTATTAGCGAGTTGAACTTGACCAGCATTACGTTCTTCTAATGAGATGAAACATATTTGAAAATTTACGAAAATCTTAAATTAACGAATGCATGCCTGAATATGAGGATCATGATCCTATTGATTTTACAGCACATTAAAACACTCTCAAACACATATACTTAACCAGAAAGGAAGGTAAAACATTGAGCTGGACATAAAATAACTGAGCATCCTGAATTGCCCAGAAAAAAAAATACACGTATATAAACTCGACAAGGTAAAATTAATAACTAATGTCAAGTCACATCTTAGCACTGTACGAGTAACTTTTATTAATCTGATACACTGTTAAGGTTTAAAACGCTGTCCCTATAAAATTGATAAATCGCAGTAACAACAATTAAAAAGTGAGGTATTCGCTGAAAAAGTTAAGGTGCTATAAACACTGATGATTTTTCTTTTTATTATTTTATCGCTTAATTTAAAATCAACATCCCTTTTCAACTTATCATTTTCAAAGAGATATGAGAAGGAAACATGCAAAAATTAGCAGGTAATCATTATCAACTTATCATTTTCAAAGAGATTTGAGAAGAAAACATGCAAAATTAGCAGGTAATCATTATCAAACCTCGCTTTCATTATCAGGAATCATAGAGCTATCCTGAGAATTGTCCCCAAAGTCAGATACCAGAGCGTCGTAATCGAGGGTTGAGGCGTTTGACAGGGCCTCCTCCTGGACAGGAACACAACTTTAGCACCCATGACTTGGTAGCATCAACTTCATTGTCAGCTGCCCATTGCGAAAAGCAACAGGAAAGCTACAAACATCAGCACAATATAGCTTATTATAAAAGAACATTATACATATTGTTATATGATCGCAGTACCCTGATTATCATCTTCCATCAGTCATATAGAGTATACACCCCAGTATTACAACAGTGACAACCGGGGAAGAAAATAAAACAAAACTTTTTGGCCAAACAATCACAATCTCATTTCCAACACGCATTATCAGGAGTAATATTATAACCTGATATAATTACAACCCTCGGGCCTGTCGTTGTGGAAGTTTAGAAATGTGTGACTATTTGACCCACCTGAACTTCGTTAGGAAGTGTAGTAAAGATGTGTATAAGTTTCCGAAGACTAGGAGCCAGGAGTGATTTGCACATGTTGCAGGCTTCTGTTGGACCCAGGTACTTCCAGAACGTGGCATTAGCTACGAAATTTTGATAAGGTCGTAATTTTAATATAATCAGTGTTTAAATTTATCATTATCAGACCATTTCGTTAGCATAATATTATTAATATTATCGGAATTAAGTTTTTCTTGATTTCCTCTTACCAATGATAAGAAACTCGTCTGATTCAAACAGAGGGACGGAGTTACAATAAGATTTCTGAGATAGAGCATGTCTCAAGCTGACGTCTCCATGGAAACCAAGAGCTCGTGTCACTGTTGTTACACAATTTACCTGAACACAAACTGTTTTAGCAATAGTAAATATTGTGAAAGTATATGGCTTTAAATAAGTTATTTTCAAATAATTTGGCTACTTTATGGCAAATTAATCCTATCAGTGCAGTGGTTACTAAGAGACTATGTGATTGGTTACTAAGAAGCTCTGTTCAAGTGGTTACTAACTTACTCAATGGTTACTGAGTAACTCTGTGGATGGTTACTAATATGTTACTAAGTAACTAACCTGCCCGGAAGAAGACACAGCAGCCCCGTTAGAAATAACACGTTCTCTCTCCGCCTTGTCCGCCGCTGTGTGAGTGTAAGTTATCTTCTTGGGGAGCCCCTCACGTGACAGTATGGCGGTCACTGAGCCTATGTTAGCCACGTGTAACATTCCCAAACTATCTTTCACATTATCTGAGTGGGAAGATTGCTGTAACTACTAACTACGGCATGGAAGGACGACCCAAATTGTATATAGACAATAAAGACGAGTTAGAAAAGTGCCAGGGGATGAGGTGTAACACACATTTTAGTATAAGTTATAAATATATAATAATATATAATAAAATAACAATTATGCTAAAAAGCAGCGAATTTAACTTAACGGACCAGTAGAGGTCTCGGTCTGGGATGTAGCAGTGGAAGGTCTTGATTGGCCGTTGTCTTGGCTAGGAATGGTTTGAAAGATACACATACACCCGGTAACTCCACTCCACCTGCTCTGACCCAGCTCTTCGTGACCCTGCTTCAGGTTCACATCTATCTTGTGAAGTGATCGCTTCATTGCACGCCTGTAAACAACAAGCATTATATCACAGATACTCCGGGAATGTAAAATACATGTACGTGCTAAGTTTAAAAAAAAAGCGAGTGTTCACAACATTTATGAATATCAGTTAATGTGAACCTGATATCGTGAGGAGAGGGAAAGGAGGAGCCTCCTCCCAATATCTCCTTCACATAGGACCAGTAGTTACTGGCAGTGTACCGAGAGGCTGTGTTCCCTTTTAAACCCTCAAACATGGCACACCCCCACAGTGAACCATCATCTTGTCTCAGATCTGGGGAATGTTACTGTGTAAATTACAGTAGGCTCTTGCAGAACCTAATGTTATTCAAAACATCTCAATTCTAACGACGGACAATGAGTTTTACGTGCTAGGATAATTTGTTTTAACACGTCATCTTAAACAGGTAAACTGTGAGTTAAACAGGGTAACTGATGATACATTTACAGATAAACAGACCGGGTGTGACAGGGTCTGCGGTAAAGAAGGTTTGTCTAAGCTCCTGTATCAACTCCTCCGAGTGGAATATGTTCTCATTCAGTTGCTCTATCTTCAACCCAAAACTGTACGGAGCGGGAGGATCAGTGTTACTCTCTGAAACACTTCTTGGTCAGCTTTAAAAGGGATAAAACATGTTTTTGAAATTTCGATCTAAAAGGTGGGCGCCAGAGAAGATTACACAACCACACCTACATCAACAAGTTTCATACTTCTAGCATCTGCTAAATGTAGTTATATAGCCCCAATAACCCCTAATAAACTTGCTAAATAGGTTTTCCGGGTTCTTAGATGTTGGGCGAGCACAGTTTCCTGTTGCCTCCTGGACCCTGGTTTTGGCTTTCGTTTTACAATTTCCCTCATGTTTAAATTAAATGAAGTGGGAAGACACCCCTCAATTATATAAAATAACGTCGGCTGATTCCAGATAACAAATTGCACTGCAAAATTGGTTAGAATATTCCCATGGCTCGTAATTGAAATCATCGATAACAAATTAGAAGACTGAACGGGATGGTTAGCAAGGTACACGTACTGGCACTGCAGTTTTAGTGCACACTGGACAGAGCTACCACACTGACTCACCCACTACCCAGCAGAGCTTCGTTCGAACTGCGAACAGTGTCCAATATGCTAATATGTATTAGGTAATTGGGTTAGGAAAGTAAACATACATGCGACAAAGATCAGGGTTACCATAAGGAAGAAAATTTCAGCAAAATTTATAGAAAAGAGTGTACACATACATGCGAGAAAAATCGGGTTACCAATAAGAAAAAATCACAACAGAAAAGTTTACAACCCTCAGATCTCTCGGATCCTCTGTTCTCTGTTGTGATTTTTTCTTATTGGTAACCCGATTTTTCTCGCATGTATGTGTACACTCTTTTCTATAAATTTTGCTGAAATTTTCTTCCTTATGGTAACCCTGATCTTTGTCGCATGTATGTTTACTTTCCTAACCCAATTACCACACTCTCTGGTTCAGAGATCAAACCTCCCCTTTTCAGTGTAACCTTGATAAAGTCCAATGCGTGACGAAAATTTGGTTTTACAGTTCACTTAGTTCCTTGTTTCACTTTGTTCGCAGTTTTATTTCGGGAGACGTGAAGTCTAAAATGAAAGCTAAATATGTATTAGGTCATTTTACTGTCCTACTTTACACCAATATACCGTACCCGGTGCACCATGCAGCTAAAACATCGAACCTTGTTTTTATATATCTATATTCTATATCATATTTTGAATTATTATCCAAAGATCTCTAAACTTATGTTAGTTAGTCACACACCTGCATGTTTGTAACATGTTGTTTAGATGCCGCCCTCCTAACGTGTTGCCCTCGCACGTATCGGGGCTGTTTACTAAGTCCGACTAAAACTAACGTGCGACTTTCACTACATGGTCAAATAAATTTGTGATTTATAATGTAATAATCTGTTATCTTAAAAGAGCGAAGAGTACACAGTCAAATATCACGACGCTGTTTTCCAGTCCCTTCATTATCATGTTTGCCCATAACTGATGAAAACTGACTATCCTGATCGATTGGTGTTGATCGCGGAACCACCAAGCGATTTAATTATAATTCATTTAAAAAATCAGATCGAATTACATCCGAGTAGCTGCTGGTTAAGTTACGAAATAAATTTACAATATCACTAAGTTACCACAATCCCAGGAAGCGTAGTTGTAGTTCTTGGGAGCTAGAGCTTCAGTCATCTTCTCAAATGAGGGAGAGTAGCCGGGTGAGTAGCAGTTGTCCTCCGAGTATTCCTTAAAATCCTTGAAATAAAGCATTTTTAGTGTGTCATAAGCATTCGTCAGACGGGCGGTGGACTTTTTATCAGCGTCGTCTATTTTCTCTAACATACTGAAATACGATGTGCATAATTATTAATTATATAGTTATTCAGTCATAATATGTACTTGTCGATAACATATTAAATATGCCACTTGTCAGAATTAATTTTCCACTTACAGCTGCAATACGAATAAACATATTATTATAACGCTGCACTGCATTAAAACTCTACAATACAGACTCAGAAGATGATTGTAAACTGGAATAAGAGGGCGGGGCGAGATAAAAAGCAGAAATACCTGCAATAGTGTCTGGTAAGTTCAAGAAAGGATGGCGGGTAGTTATCTAGCTTTAAAATCCTCAGAGATCCATGTTGGAGGGTATGTTCTCTCCACAGACGGAGTGGGATGACAAGTTGACATCGTCCACATTTAACTTTACTCAGCTTCTGGCGGTACATCATCTCTCTTGGTCATTCCTAATGTCGGGATGTTATTATTAAAACGTGATTTTGGGGCTAATTTTCCGTAGTATCTTATCGAGCAGAATTGAAATAAAGGTTTGATAAAAACTTAACGAGAATTTATTGAATTAAGATTTAACTTAATAATCGTTTGTCGTTAATTTCCGTCCAGGAGCATGATAATTTGTCTGCAGCTGTTATCAGCTAAAGTGTGTTAATTAACGTGATTAGGGAATAGAGTCAACAACAAAAAGATAAAAAGTGACCGGTGTAATTTGCCATTATAATTTTGGATGAACATTGGCCAACACCATTCGTTCAGGGATATACTTCCTGTTAAATTCTGATAAAATATTAAACTAATCATATTAGATGGGGTAGAAATATAATTGCAAGAGAACTTATCACAATCTTGAGTCTGAACAGATTGTGCTGCCGACACAGTTTATAACTCGGAGAAATAAAAACATGATTGGTTCTAAATTGAATTTGCTTCGATAAGGAAATGAGACCATTTCCGTTGATTCCATTAGTACCTTACTTTTGCTTTCAATTTTTTTTGTAACGCGTCCCTAGTCACGAATAGAATTCAGTTTGTCTTCAAATACATCGATCAAACGGTGGCAAGAGCAGTATAGAGCTTGTTGCAATTCAACTTGTTTGTATCACTCCCTCTGTCCCTCTGTCCCTCTGTCCCTGAGTTCCAGAGTCCCTGAGTTGCTCTGTGCCTCTGTGCCTCTGTGCCTCTGTGCGTCGGTGCCTCTGTGCCTCTGTCCCTCTGTCCCTCTGTCCCTCTGTCCCTCTGTCCCTCTGGCCCTCTGTCCCTCTGTCCCTCTGTCCCTCTGTCCCTCTGTCCCTCTGTCCCGCTGTCCCTCTGTCCCTCTGTCCCTCTGTCCCTCTGTCCCTCTGTCCCTCTGTCCCTCTGTCCCTCTGTCCCTCTGTCCCTCTGTCCCTCTGTCCCTCTGTCCCTCTGTCCCTCTGTCCCATATTCCATAATCTTGACATTATTTCTAAAATCATCGATTCACAGTAAATCAATTTTACGTTTCATCTTTTAAAGATATGTCTAACCTCACGTCCACATTTGCAGCTATGTCCAGACTATTCGTCTTAGGACTGTTTACAGTCGTACTCGTAACTCTTAGCGAGGCACACAGGTACAAGGGAGCGGAGTACAAACAAACAAAGGTTGTTGCAGGACATGTTGACGTTGAACCTGACAGCAGGCTAGAAGCTGACGGCTATGAAGAATGCGACGATTTCCTCAATGACCCATCTTACAATGAAAACTACGTGGAAGGGGACGGGAACGCAAACGCTGCCAATGGATTCCATCATCTTCTCAACCGCCACAAGCCCAAGCCATTGGCAGATATCTGCGAAAGTTACGAATGCCTGGACGCTGAAGAAGTGGACTCACCCGGATGTGGATTTGCAACGAGGATCTTACCAAGTGCCTACTGGATGGTTGCAGACATCGACCTGTCCCGAGAATTGGGAGTTAGAGAAGCCTACAAGCGCATCTATCGCGTGAGAAGCGGACACAGCAACGATCAGGCACTTAAGATGAGCTTCGTGCTTCCAGTCTTGAAGAAATACTACCTGGACGAGTTTGGACAAGTCGAGCGAGCAGAGATTGGTATGCTCATTCCATCAGAATACCAGAGCAACCCACCAGCATCAACATACGACGAGGTAAGAATCGAGAAATGGGATGAGATGAAGGTTTATGTCCGAGCATATGGTGGGTACAGGGATGATGCAGAATACCAACAGCAGTTCGACCTTCTCAAGTTAGCACTGGACAAACAGAACATCGTCCCATATCCTCACATGAAGATTGTGGTTGGGTACACCTACTACAGATACGGCAGACAGCGTCTAGAAGCAATGCTGGTTGACAACGACTCCATTAGTGCGTGATAACTGGATCATCGGGAAACTTTGTGATAAAATTTGAATGATCAAATTATATTAACGGTGACATTTCAATTCAAATTCTAAATTATTTCTCTTTGAAATTGGGTACGTTTTAAAATACGTCTTAATACTTCAAGGTCGAAAAATTTTAATTGATTACCTTCGACGAGGGAAGGGTATAATGTTATTTATTTTTTTGTGATTGATGTACTGTGTACATCTGTGATTATATATTTTTCATCACATTGCAGCATTTATAAACCAGGTCTTATTTATTGTGTACACTCAGTTACTAATCCAAAATAATTATGGTTATTTGCCTCAAATTCTACTAAAAGATGTACAATTAACATTTTACTGCATCTAGATCAATTGAATTTGAAATGAAACATTATATTCAAATTGATTGAACCTTATTAATTTTACCCTCATATATTTTCAGCTATGTCAAGAGTCTATGAAGTCTTAGGGTTGCTGACAGTCGCACTTCTCAACCTTGGTGGAGCACATTCGAAACATTCCTACCAGACGATTGAGGAAGACAACTACTCTTGGGAAGAAGCTGAGGGCTACCAGGAATGCCAGACAAATGACCCGGGATACAACGAGTTTGATGCCACCCAAGACTTTGATGGAAGCTCCCCGAACGATCTTGGAAATTACCCTGACGATCAGGGAAATTTCCGAAAGAGTCCTAAACCAAAGGCCCTTGAAGAGATTTGCGGAACCTACGAGTGCCCGATGTTCCAAAAAGTCGAGTCATCAGGATGCGGATTTGAGGAGAGAATCATTCTGCGTGCCAACTGGACCGTTACTGACATCGACCTGAAATCACCTGACGGATATCGGGAGGCCTACTTCCGTCTTCATGGTTACAGGAGCGGAGCAAGGAACGACCGTGGACTTGAGATGGATATGGCGGTTCCTGTCATGAAGAAATGGTGGATGGACGAAGATGGTAATATCCTGTCAGCTACAATGAGCTTCTACATTCCTGCAGACGTCCAGAGCAACCCTCCTGCCTCGACAGACGAGCAGCTGAGAGTGGAGCAGTGGGACGAGGCTACAATCTACATACGGGCCTATGGTGGGAGCAGACACGATCCAGAACATCTCAAGCAGTTCGACCTTCTCAAGACAGCTCTAGCAAAGCAGAACCTGACACCGTACCCTTATATGAGAATGACAGCTGGATTCACGAGCCCTTTTAATGGCAGACAGCGCAGAGAGCTCATTCTGGTGGACAACGCATCTATGATTTAAACTGATTTTACCTTAAAACTAACTCTATTAACAGGACTTAAACTGAGTGGTTCATAACTTTAATGACTTGAGTTTAATTCAATTATAGAGAATTTTCTTTACGATGAGAGAGATAAGAGAACTAGAAACTTGGCCTAAATGTTTTGAAATTATTTTATATGCGTTTTAAAAATTATTTTTTGTCTGTTTAATAATTTGTATCATATTATGGACTATGGTGGTCTCATGGTTTTAAAAATTATCTTGATGTAAATAAAATGTAAAATGTTTGAAATGTTTTCTTGGGTAAATTTCTATTGATCCCGTTTATAAATGAAATATTTTATTGTAATTTTATAAAATATATTGATATCTTTGTAAAAATCAAATTATTCGATCTAAAATGAAACTGGTAAGAACTGCTGGATCCTGTAGCAGTAGAAGATAACAATATAATATATAAAAATATCCACTCTGAAACTTCATAAACAATAAAGTTATCGTTACCAATTAAATATAAAATAACCTAAAGTGGGATACCTATAACAGTAGAAAAAAAAAATTCACATCAGTAAATTGAAAGAGTCAAACTGTGGTGCTTCAGGGAAGAAAAAGGTGAAATCTTGATGAAGCAGTTCATCTCATCGTCGTCGTTTTATAATAAAAAGGGGATAAAATAATCTTTTTGAGTTATTGACCTTTTTTCCATATCTGGGGTCCCGATACAATATAACAATGATAATCGTCGATCATGAAAATCGATTTTTATGATGTTTTATAAAAGAGGAGAGGAATCAAACGTAATTTCACGGGAATACTAATTCTGTCAACTTCATTCCCAGATTTTTGCAACAATGTTACATCACTCTGAAACTTGACAGGTATCAACTAAACAGCATTTAGAAAGTTTTATAAATTTGAGTAAAGCGTTAATAGTAGTAGTAGTAGTAAATCTTTCAAAGTACGAAATATCTCTTTAAAAGAGCATCCTAGGCACCTTATAGATATCAAAACGCATAAAAAAGAAAACAAAAACATGAACCATCTTCTAACTTCTTCCACTCCTCCCTATCTAAAGCTAAAAATCTAAGGTCTTCGAAATCAGTCAAATTCTTAAGTCTAATATCAAGATTTCTACTAGTCAAGTCTTTTCTAATAACATCTAATAAGATTAAACATGGTCTACCCCGTCTCCCTTCCATAAAAATATCAGAATTTATAGCAAATAATTAAAGCGTTAATAAGTGCTGAAATTACAGTTTGTTCAAAATGCCTGATTGGTTGCTTTACAATTGACTTGTGGCCACTTGGCAGTTGACACTGTGCAATGTATGTATTAAAATCCAACGAACATACTTTAACCTTTTACATAGTATGAACTAATATGATATATCAGCATTACTTGAATCTCGATATATATATATATATATTATATTTAGTTTACCAGTAGTTCACTATTCAGTTGTTCACTATTCAGTACTGTATCACTTAGTAATAACTACCATCTGGTTTACTGTTCAACTCCATCGAACAAATCTGACAAGAATTGTAACAATGTAACAGCGCGCTGGGGAGGTGTTACACGTCAAAGCGATAATAACTATACGCCAGGTGGTGCCTACCTGGACTCTTGGCGGAGAATAGGACAAAAGATGTGACAAAAAGGTGAGAATTCTGACAGATCACAAACTGGATCGTCAAGTGAGAAACAAAGATAGAGATTGTGCGGAGGCAAAGAGAGACATTTCGTGTCATCTACTTTTATCATAACATCTGCTGTGCAAATTCATCTTATTGTATTTAAAAGCCAACTATCAATCTTCGGTACAATTCACAAGTATTCTCTTTTCTATCTTGACTTATTTACTGGGTTTCGCACCACGGACCGAAGACTGACCTATTTTTTGTGATTTGCCCTTACTTTGTTCAGGGAGATTTATCAGGGGAGGTGACTGAGCCCCCCCCCCCCACTATTCCAATTTTCATCTAGTGTGCGTGTGCAGTGTGCAGTGTGCCGTGTGCAGTGTGCAGTGTGCAGTGTGCAGTGTGCAGTGTGCAGTGTGCAGTGTGCAGTGTGCAGTGTGCAGTGTGCAGTGTGCAGTGTGCAGTGTGTAGTGTGCAGTGTGCAGTGTGCAGTGTGCAGTGTGCAGTGTGCATGTGTATCATATTTTATAAATTTATGCCGTCCGCACTATTTGACAAGTTTTTTATGCGCACCTACGAATGCTCCCGCTCAGTATTTTTCCTTTTCAACCGTTGCTGATAAAGGTATAAAGAAAGGCTAGGAATTCATTGCTACTGTACATAAGCACCTGACGTGATATAATAATTCTTTGCCACTCAGCTCTGTAATCTAATCTTTCTACTTCAGTTGTTAACTTTCTGAATCTTTAAATCTATATTCTGATTAAGTCGTGTAGTGCTATTGAGTCTCATTTGATGATTCTTTCAAGAAGATTTCTGATTTTTTCTGAATAGACTCAGTGATGACAATGTTTCGTCCTTAGATCATTGTCATCACTGAGTCTATTCAGAAAAATCCGAAATTTTCTTGAATAAATCTATATTGCAAATCTTCAAATAATGTACTGTAAAACATAAGATTCTCTCTCCCTGTCCTTCGGTAATTTTTCATTAATTCAAAACAATCATTACTATTTTTGCTTTATTATTTAGTGCAAGTAAAGATCCTTAAAACGAAAAGGAATGCTTAGATTGTTAGGACTGGTGTATCTGGTGGTGGGTGGATATTCTGCAACAAGCACTGAGCGATGTCCTCAGGGAGTGCGGGGATTTGCAGGACCGTCAGAGCACCAATACTACAACTGCAGGAGCGGGGATAAATACGCAGAGCTCGTAACCTGTGAGGATGGCATGATCTACGATAGAAAGGAAGTCACGTGCACACAAAATCTGCTGAAAAGAGGACAAAGTGAGCTGGTACAGCCAATCGTTGACCAGGTATCTCTGGGACAGGCTATAAAGATAGGGACACTGTACAGCCAGAGGACCAGCCAAATGTACCATGGTTACGAACTTTACAGCAAGGACACATTGGACGAATACGTGAGCAGGATAGAGGGATCTCTGAGGGAAGTTCAAGAAATAGATGCTGTGGCCAACACAAGGAGTTCCAGAGCCAAGTTTGGGCTCGGGGCAGAATTGGAACTGGAACTTATGTCCGGTCTGATCAGTGTTAAGGGCAGCGCTGAGTACATGAAGGACGAAATCAAAAGTTCTCAAAGAGCACGAGTTGTCCTGAAGAAAGAGATCGAAGGTGACGTTTTGGAGTTAGATAAGGATGGTGCATCTATAGACTATGACTACTGCAATCTTATCGGCCGAAACACTGGACCCACTCATTTTGTGTCAAGAATAATCTATGGACAAAGATCTTACATGGTTTTCGAAAAAGATGCAGCAGTTGGTGAAAATTTGGATGACACTTAAAGGTTCATTAGAAGCCCAAATTGATTTGATTCCGGACCTAGTCATTAAGGGCAGTGTGGCGATAGGTCTGCATGACCAAGAGTACCATAATGATGACAAAATGAGGGTTAAGTTCTACGGTGATGCCATCCTAGAAAAAGTTCCTAGAACTTGGTTTCAGGCCATTGACACATTTAATACAGTTCTCGAACAAAAGGAAGATGGACGCAAAGTACTGGCGTATAGTAGTCCAATCAAATACTCATTGACTCCCCTCAATGAAGTGTGTGATGATGGAACTGCAGCAGTGATCCAGGGTATAACGGAGGATTTAGTGTCCAAGACTATAAAATACCTTGATGATCTGACTGACAACAGAGAGAAGCTAAACTACTTGCTAGGAACAGATCCAGCCATTAGATACTCGGCAATCAGGGAGCAGCTACTTGTCTTCAAAAATGGAATCGAGGCTTTCTATGCGAGTATGGCATCCAGAGTAGCAAAGTTGCTTCCGCTTATTAAAGCAAGCATGGTCGATGAGCGTGAGTTAAGAAATATTCTTACTGATTTTGAAGACTCTGCGTTCGTTAAGTCACGATCTGATGATTTCCTCACTTACAGATATCGTGAAATCGATACCATCCTAAATATTGTCAAAGGAGCCCTGAAGAACCCAGACATGCTTTTGTCTGATCCAGTTAGTGCCACAGACAACCAATGTGTTTTCAAACAGGATTATGGCACCATCTTTGAGATGAATCTCCTACCAGAGAGTGGAGTTGCCCAGAAATTCATTGACACGAAAGATACATGGTCAGAGCCAACAGCATGGTTCGAGAGAACAAGTACAGTTTTAAATGTCGGACAAGCAAGGAAACGATTCGAAACCTATGTGGAGGCTAATGTGAAGACCACAGGCCAGAAGAGGTGCTACATGCTGAAGTTGGGTTCACTTAACAATGAACAAAATTACCAGATGTATTTATATGAGAATGGCAAGGAAGTAACCAAGGACTTCCAGATACCGCAAAAACCACCCCATGCGGTGGCTTGTGAAGAGACACATTCTGATGGGTTGACTCTCAGGGTAGAAGATAACAAAGATGAGGATGTCACAGGAATTGAAGTTACGCTGGAAAGCTATGTCCACAATCACAAATCAAAACAAGTACTGGAAAAAGGAACGTCTGCTAGGGTAACAAATCTTCATTCTGACGAGAATTACAAAGTCAGTTACAGATATGTTGTTCAGAACGGTCACGGATTCAGCGAATACTCACAGTCGGAAGATTGCAGAACTCGGCCATCCTCTGCTCCTGTTGCTCTTCTAGCCAGCCCAATTACTTCAAATACTATTAGAATCTCATGGGCAACGCCTGCATTGATCGCACCACATCTTAAAGACAGAGACATCACCTATACTGTACTGATTAACGAAGGAAACAGTTTAGGTATAAGTGCAACGGTGAGTGCAGCTGATCTGGGATTTAAAGTGTATCAGTTTAACGGAAAAAGGGCAGGAACTTTGTACACAATAGGAGTGTTTTCAACAGTTAATGGTAACGAAGGTGACACTGCAGTTTTAACAGTCACAACAGCACCGGCCGCTCCTGCAGCTCCAGTTCCAGGTCAGATCCAAGACAACAGAGTGCGATTCCAAGTGAAGGTTGGAGACGTCAGCGTACCGGCAGGAGTGACAAAAGAACTGCTCTCGATCAAGTACTACAAGATTAACAACAATCAGGTTGTTAGTGGAACTGAAGTCTACTACATGCAGCGTCTTCAGGTAAATGGAACTTGGTTTATTAATATTTTCAATATATCTTATCATGATGCTATTTTAACGTACAAACGTTTAGCAGAGAACAACAACCAATTCAATTTGTCAGCTTTTGAATAACTATCGTATTAACATATTATTAATATTAAAATTACCTCTTACTCTACAGAATCAAGAAAACACCGAGATAGACATTGCTAGTTTGGAGACAGGAACCTTATATGGAGTGCAAGTTAAACTTTTGGTAAATATCATTGATATAATAAAAAGAAACGCGATATGACAAGTATTAAAATTGCATACTTCAGTCCCATCATGCCACTATCATTCTATAATCTATATAATAAGATTTTCACATGCTGAAAACAATAAGAAAGAGAGAATAATTGATCAGGAAATGTTGGGATTTACAAGCATTATTTAACAGGTAAGGTATGATGGCCGACTGCTGGGATCTGACTACTCCAGTCAAGTTACTGTAACCACCACAAATACCGGTTCTCCTATCGACAATCTACGAGATAATATCAACCAGTTTGAGTCTTCTCCAAACAAAAACTCGACAATGCAGACCTACAGAAGAACCAGCTTGTCTCCACAATGAATGCCGCGGAGAACAAATTCACCTCCGCAAAATCAGGAGGCCTGAGTCAGATAGATGACATGGGGGAGAGGATTTCTCTGGATTTCGTGGGAGTTCAGCAAAAATCGAATGGTAAAATCTATGTGACAACCGATACATTTAAAAAAATCTTTTGTATTGGTAATTTCGGGTATCTGCCAATTTTTCATAATATGTAATTTTGAAAGATTCAACGTTAGCATTAGACTACGCCACAAATTTAAAGTTATATAATATATTATACTCTCTTAAGTTGCAATCACTAATTGATTCATTTAATGAATAATGACGATACTGATTCCGTGTGTTTTCAGTCCTGCAGAAATCAAAGTGCTTCTTGGATGGATTTCAGATTTGGGACCAATCTGACAGTCTATTAAATACGCTATATGTCAACTCGGAGGCTGACTGTCTAGCTAAATGCGCCGATACTGACGGCTGTTCCAGTGCCAGTGTCGAAAACATTAAAAATGGCAATAGAATAACATCACGAAAGTGTCTTCTTGGACCAAAACGAAATGGCTATATGCTGTATCCACAGAAAAACTTCATATCGGCCAACATGTATTGCCAATGTAAGTTTCTTGTTTTTGAAACTGCTGATTTAACAGCTAATATTATGATTTTTCTTGATTCAATTGTAGCACAGCTCTGAAAATGTAAATTATCCAGAAACTTTTAATATAACATGATTTACAATAATATCTGTTTCAGTGACAGAATCTGCTACAATCGACACCTGGAAAGAATGCGTCCAAGAAAACATCAATTATCCCGGTGCAGACATCGTCAATTCGGCTGGAATAAGTAATATCGAAGAGTGTGCAGCATTCTGCCAAACTGTGGAGAATTGTGTAGCAGCTTCGTTCAACAAACAATCCAAGACATGCTACGCTAAAAACAAAAGAAACGGAGACCGGGTCAATTCAGACAGCAATACAGTCAGCGTCTCCTTGATGTGCCTAAGTAAGTTGTCAACCTCAAACCAAGAATCAACGATAGAAATGAAATAACATGATTTAAAGTCTAACTTTTAATTTCTTTCCTTGTCGTAATGATAGAATTTATGTTATAAATCCGCGATAGTTATAATATGACGAAATGTTTACAGGTGCAAACCGAGGTGGAATCAGTCGATGTGCGAAGAGTGGAGTCAGGTTCACTGGATCAGTCATCCATACGACATCAACAGCTTCTCTTGATCTCTGTATCCAGTTCTGTGCTAACAAAGACAACTGTGAGTCTGTGTCCTACAACAGTTCTTCAAGGAGTTGCGAGGCACACAACAAGCGACTTGGAGCTAGCAGAGGAAATGTGGGCGGTTGGACAAGCGTCAACATTTACTGCTTGGGTAAATTGATAATGATAGTTTCTAGGTCCTAACTTATTTTATTTTGGCCCTTAGAGGAAACAATCAGTGCATCAGTGCCAGATTCGAAAGGCCGGAAAAACGTACTAAGGCCAAACATCTTTGGGCCACGGCAAAAGCTGGCCTATTTGAATTTTTGCTTCTAAAACAGTGTGAAGGTCGCATTTCTGCAGATAACTAAAGCTATGATAAAATCTTGCTATTTTCAGGACTACAGCACTTCTAAGATTCTAACTGAACCGGATGACATCGGAAAATGGAAATCTCTCATAGGGAAAGAAGTAAATCTACTTGGTAATCGAAGAATTCAAAATATATATCAATCTTATTTTAAACATTTTCTCGCATTAAAACTGTATCATATGATTTATTTGTCAAGAAACTTCAAAATGATAAACAAAATTTGTAAATCGAGTAAAGCAAACAAAATGTGATGTGAAAAATCTATCTGGAGGGGGTTGCTTAAACCTTTAAACATGAAAGTGTTACAAACGTTTATAGTAACAGGAAAGTTTATAGTAACAGGAGCTTTACAAAACATGCGTTACTCGTCTTCCGCAATAATATAAGTAATCTAAGTTCAATCAGTAAAGAGTCATTATTTCTGACCGTGTTAATGATATATATCTTGATCAGAAACAAAGACAAATGAACTGACGAAGCAGCTAAGTTATAATCGATAGGTGACCACACAGAAGCATAGTTAATCAATAACATGTAAAAAACAAAAACGTAGGATAAGCTGGTTGAAGCTGCACGTCGCCAGTCGATAAAATTTACAGAATGTTTTTATAAGTCACGTTTATCTTTTTAAAACGAGAATGAATGAATGAATCGGACATGCTATTGAGTTTTCAATTGTACTTACCGTAATCGGTTTACAACTGTAGACATGGTAAGTAAAGTGATTGTAAGTTATTAGACAAGTTATATATACAAATTCACAGTTTTAATTCTGAATCCTTAACACGGATGTGTTTCTGTAAGTGAACTGAAGTATAATCTTCAAGCAATGGGATGAAGGGAGGAGAAATAATCCTCCCTCTACTTTCCCGGCTACTGGGACTGGATAATACTGACAAGGAAAGAGACACTACGGCCTACGCTAGAGGACACTACGCTAGAGGACACTACAATAGCGAACTGTAAGTTCAGTAATACGGAGCTTGCCCAAAAAGTGGACAGTACGGCTAAATCTCATGACCCAATAAACGGCCCAATCTGCTGACTGTTTCTTATCAGCTTCTGCTTCCGAAAATATTTGTTGATTCAATTTAAAATCATATTTATTATCAAAGTCAATTAAATTCTATATGAAACATTACTGACGACATTATTGATATACATTGTTGATATACATGTATATAATATACATGTATGTCTTGAAACATTGAAACATTGATGTTTATCACAAAATTTTGATTAATTAAATAGTAAATCAAAAATGTCATAATGTGTCACATTGGTCATAGTCACTGACACAATAATCTCGATGAAATATCCTGACTTAGTAAAAACTTATCAAAATATCACGATAAAGTTTTGTATCGTTTGTAAGACAAATTTCGGTTTTCACAATAAGATGCATTTTCTAATTTCCTAACAAATTTGAGATGACTTTGGAGAAGTTCCCAATGTCAGTTGCAGTTGTGAGGCCCTGTCCCTGGCCCTGTCCCTGGCCCTGGACCCCACAGTGAAGAGCCCCTGCTCCTGGACCCTGCAAAATCTAAGGCTGTGTTCGTGATGATACTTTAGCTAACCCGGCGGCGCTTTGCACCATCTTGCTCATATCCATCTAACAGCCTACTAGACTGAGCCCAGCCTGCCGAGAAATCCTGACTTAGCGGCTGAATGTAATAAGCGCCGGAGGGCTTTCTACCTGGCCCCCAAAAGTCTATCGGTGGCACACCTTCAGCCCATTCGTACTCATGATAGGTGGTTGTTTGAGTGAACATTCTCTTGCAGCTGTGGAGTTGGTCCTGATCACTCATCATGCCGTTAGTAACTTGTTCTGGAGCTGTCTCTACTCGACCTTTCTTCTCACCAGGTTTACAGGTTGCAAGTGCAGTCCCCAGGCTCTTGTCAGGCTCTACTACTGGCTCAGTTTCCCCCAGCTCAGGCGTGACACAGGAAGATTCTGCTTGGTCTCGATACTGGTTAAAGTTGATTTGTAGTTCGCGGAGTAGTTGTGGATCGACTCTTTTCTCCAACTCCCGTAAGTAAATGTGAGCGTCTTTCAGAACTTGAACTTTGCTTCTGACCCTGTCTTGGTCGTGAAACTGCCAGCCGAAATCCTGGAATTTGTTAGTTATCATAAAGATAGAAAATGAAATAAATATTGAGCTGGCTCCTAACAAATACTATGCAGCGCCCCAAGGGCCAAAAAGTAGCATATTGTTCCTCAGACACGAGCAGAAACCGTGCAGATCCATTATTAAATATTCATAACCAAACCGGACCAGATCTGACAAAACGATCTAGTCGCAGTGGCTGGACCAGAATAAATAGGCTAATTCGGTTTCTGGACCAGATGGGAGCAAAATTTGCCTATACCGGACTCAATAATATAAGCAGTTGGCTCCCAACTGTAAGCAAATGTAAATAGGAGGCTGGCAACAAAAAAGCTAACCACATACTCAGATAAAATAAATAGGAATAACATTAAAACTAGCGTATGTCGAGACAAACCTTTCTGAGATCGTTAAAACACTCGTTCAAATGCTTCATCCTCTTGCGCTCTCTGTCATTTGCTTCATTTCTCCTCTTGGTTTTATCGTGCTCCTGATGTTCCATCTGTTGTGGGGTCACCTTCAAATGATGTTTATTATGTCACATGACACACATATGCTCATGATGAAGTCATGATAAATTGATTGCTGGGGGTCAAAACGTTTACACCATTCACAAAGAAGGGGAGTCCGAGAGATATTATAATACAAAAAAAACATATGCTACGTACGGTCTGAAGGAGAAGGAGGAGTGGAAGGAGGAAGGAGGTGGCTCATTGCGATCTTTGATCCGGTGTTTTGGTTTCACAACATATGGCAACCAAACGGCAATTCATAGGGTACATCAGCATATGGCGATAAAGTTTTGTTCGGTACGCAATTAATAGCGATGGCAAACATCCGCAAATCATCAATCAATCTGAAGAGTACTGAAGAAATGAAATCAGTAGCAGGAATCGTCCCATTTGAAGTTTTTATTGAAAAAAAATTCACCAGGATAGGTAAATCCATTATTAAGTCGTTTCATTGACAGTCGATTCAATTATTGGGTATTAACTATCAATCGAAATGTTTGGCAGCGTACTGAGAGTGTGTTATATCACGTGATCGCTGATTAATAAAATCCCAGATTAATTTAACAAAACAATTCATATTTCAGAGCTGGTAGCTGAAATGAAGCAGGTGGACAAATGGGCAATTCAATTTTAATCATAACAATTTGGGCAATTCATTGTAATGAGGAGGAGCATTGTTATGATGTTGAGACAGAGATTAATATTTCAATTCGGATATCTTCAGTTTCAATAGATAGGGGCAGGACATACTCTGACGTTTACATCACATGATCAAAAGTTGAGCCAAAAATGGAACCAAACTGTTTTCTTGCCGAGTTTTCTACTTTTGTTTACTATAAAAGTAGTAAACTCGGCAAGAAAACAGAATTGATATTTCATGCCCCACGGAGAGCACTGCTGACAGTTCGCTATAATATGACGGACGAATCTCACGTTACAGATCCAGACACGTTTAGCTGGAGATTTAAACTGAATAAGCAAAGCAATCAGAGTAGCATAAAAATGAAGTGGTTATGTGATCACGGACAGCACATGAATGGCATGATGGATCATATTTTATATAACAATAGCAACTAGCAAGTTGCAACGGTAATATGGTGTCTGTGAAAACAACGACCAAGAAAAGAAGAAATTAAGGCCAGAGGGGGGGGGTAAGGGGTCAAAAAATTCTACCAAAATATTATTTTCTAAATCGATTTAATTTTTGATGACAAAAACATTGCTGCTATTCACATATTTGTAGCTGATTAACTTTATTTTATAATTGAGGTTAACCGATTTTCACAAAATTGACTACTGTATACAACATTGAGGTTAATAAAATTGAGGTTCATATTTTATTACACGCCATAATTTTTTGTTATTTCGGTCAGCAAATGTAAACTCTAAATTTTAGGTTCATAATTATCAGAAAAAGTAATATCCAAACGTGATTAAATGAGGTTAACCTCTTCTTTTAGATATAGCGAGAATAGATCAAATGATAGAGTTATTATTTTCATGGTAAGTTTACGGTATACAAATTTCTAAATAGATGACGTGTTGATTGACTTTACTTTTATCTTGAGAAAATGAAAAAAATGAGGTTAACCATCACATTTTGGTACCGTAGGGAATATACATACGATTCTTACTTATGTAATGTACCACAATATCGAAGTGAGGTATCTATTGGTATCACAATGCCTACAACTATAATCACGTGACAAAGGTGATTTGAACTGACCATATTTTAGTAGAAGATTTTACCCGTAAATGGCTAAAAAATGAGGTTAACCTCTCATTTTTTGAATATCTGACCAGTTAATTACATGTTAACCTCAAAACCTTAATCGTTATACTGTGCAAATGTTTTACTACATATATAATAACATATTGATAAACCAATCCCAGTGTTATATGGTCTAAAGCGAGGTTAACAACCAAATTTTAAGCAGTTAGTGTTTACAGGAAGTCTTGGTTAACCTCATTTTTTACAATACAAGGACATTAACTACTGAAAGTGGCTAAAATCATTTAGGGGACGGCCAGGTCTGATCAAGCAAACGTTATTAAGTGTATAAAAAGTCCTAACTAACGAACTGTGATACATTCCAGTGAATATTCAAAATTTTGAAAACACTAAATTGCATCTATCTCAAAACACATTTTTTGACCTTTCGATTCCTTAGTTGAGAAAACTGGCCACTCCCTGATCTTGAAGTTTGGTACAGTGGTTCCTTAGACAATTGTCCTCATTTATTATGTGAGCGATTTTTTAAATTTGACTCGGTTCTCGAATTATGAGGTTAACCAGCTAAATTTTCCGAATTTTTGACATGGTTAACCTCATAATTCGAGAACCGAGTCAAATAAAAAAAATCGCTCACATAATAAATGAGGATAATTGTCTAAGGAACCACTGTACCAAACCTCAAGATCAGGGAGTGGCCGGTTTTCTCAACTAAGGAATCGAAAGGTCAAAAAAGTTACAGCCGTTTAAAGATCCAGTTTAACATGTAATTACAGGTAAACCTCAAAATTTAGCGCGCGATATCTCAGGAACGCAAGGTCAGATTTTGATCCGGTTTTTTTCTTCTTGTTCGTCTCCAGCAGCTATTATCAAATATGTGAAAACTAGAAAAGTGCCATTTACCCCCCCCTCTGGCCTTAAGCGCCAATAAAATGGCCTTTTCCGCGACATTGTCTCCAGAAACGTGCAGCGCGGCTTAAAATTCTTCTTCTAGAACATCCTCCGGAACAAATCTGCGCACGATATTGTAAATTGTACATTGTACATACTATGTTTGTCACAAGTATATTACACTTATTGACATTGTCGGACAAATGATTTTATCAAACATTGTATCATCCATTTTGTACTTTCAATATTTGGAAAATATCATATTATTTGATATCATGGTTTATAATAGGTCCCACTGTAATCTGTATCAAACATTGTATGTCTGTGAAGGCACATACAATGTTTGTCAAAACAAAAAATTCTCATCGTAAATGTGGATTTTGTTTGAAACTGTACTTACAATGTGTGGAATTGAACGTAGATTCGTAATGTGCCGCCCTGATTATTCGACGTGAATTAGTTTACTTGAAAATTAGTACTTTCCCCGCTAATACCAACCGAATAAATTCCAGTCATCAGTAACAACGAATTTTCAACATCTGTGACTCTATATCCAATACAATAATCCTACTAATCCGTTCGATAAAACGTCACAAAACCTACCTTCTGGTTCTCACAAGGTGCTATTGTGCTGTTGTCATGACAACAGGGGCGACTATCAATTATTCTCAGCTCAACAAAGAATCTGAAAACAAAGGTCCAAGAGGTGTGAAATCTAGAACTGGAAGAGGGACCTCTCACCAGTTCTTTGTGTACAAAAGATTACTGATTTTTCTACCTGTCAGGCAACTAAAGGGTGTTGCTAGAAAAACACCTGGTTGGAGGGTATTCCTTCACGGCCCTGATTTTTTCCAATAGCATATTGATATAGAAAGCACAATCTTGAGTACCTCAAATTGTTTAACTTGTCTAATAGGGCCTCTGCTGCTTTTCTTGGGTTGTAATGGCAGACATAAGGCTGTTGTTAGGCATCCTGTTCATGTTCGGTGGTGTTGCTGCCGTCAAATGTCCCAAAGGGATCCGAGCATTTGCTACATTTGCTGATGACGAGTACTATGAGTGTGCGGAAGGAAAAGAAGCGGTGTTGAAGAAGTGTAATGCAGGGATGAAGTTTAATAAAAAGCTTGCGGAGTGTGCTAACCCTGATGATCTAGAGAAGAGAGGTCTGAAGGAGTCAAGTGAATCAGGTTCCCACGAGAGGGTGTCCATGGGGGAGGCTATTAAGATAGGGGCCTTGTATGATGTGAGAAGAGGCTTTCTGTACAATGGCTTCAACCTTTGGTCGAAGAAAACATTAAAAGAAGAGATATACTCTGTTGAGAGTGATGGTCTGAATGTTGAGTTTCTGGTTGAAAAGAATGCCCGAGATAAGGCCAAACACTTCGGTCTAGGAGCCCAACTTGAGTTAGATTTCCTAGCTGGTCTGATCAGCATAAAAGGAAGTGCACAGTTTCTCAAGGACTATAGGAAGACCACCAATTCGGTCAGAATGATCCTTAAAGGTGAGCTGATTGGTTCAACTGAGGACATTGATACGTATACGCCCATTGACTATCCTGATCTTTGTGAAATGGTCACACCCACCAGTGGCCCAACTCATGTTATCACTCGAATAACTAAAGGTCAAAGGTCATATTTTATCTTCGATAAATACGTGGAGCACAATAGAAACTCCGAGGATATCGAAGCTGAACTAGCAGCAAGTGTTAGTTTTATACCTCTGTGTTCAATCGAAGGTCGTATTGCAATACACGCTAATGGGACGCAAGTGAAGAACATTGACCGACTCAATGTTAGGTTCTATGGAGATGCCTTGCTAGCTAGTTTCCCTACACAGTACCCACAAGCAGCTGTAGCATACGATGACACCATAAGAAATGGCCCCCGGACCACTCCTATGAGATACCATGTCACTCCCATATCCGAGTTTTGTGACAGTTTGGCTGATGCTGATAATGTCATAATTCACAAAATAACCGAAGATTTGGTAGAGTTGTCGAGTAACTCTCTGTCTGTATTAAGGGGTATTCAAGCTTCTGTCAATACTTTGCTTGAACTCGACCCTGCAATTAGGTACGAGTCAATCAAACTACCTCTAATCACCTTCAAAAATGCGCTAGAGGAGTTCATGTCGGAATACAGAAGGCAACTTGTTGACATTTTGCCAAAGGTTAAAGCTAAGCTAATAAATGAAAGTGCGCTGGTTGAGATTCTGGTTACTTTCGAAAATTCAGCATTCACAAATCATCGAGCGGATACATTCTTGACCCTAAGAAAGAAGGAAATCGAAACTATCACCTTGATAATAGACAAAGCCCTGAAGGATCCAAAGATGTCTCTATCAGACGTTAAAAATGCTGTTGATAATGAGTGCATATTTAAAGGGGAATCCAGCTCTGCTTTCGTTCTTAAACTGCTCCCTTCAGAAGATATTACCCAACAATTCTTAAATTCAAGGGGAACTTGGTCTGAAGAACAGGCATGGTTCTCCAACAACATCCTAAAAGTGAAAGAAATTGGAAATCGAAAGCGGGTGTTTGAAAGCTACGTCGACACCAACAAAAAGGATGCAGAGAGATCACAGTGCTTCTTGATAAGACTAGAGAATATATCAGACGATCCAGACGACATCTCTGAAGTCCAACTGTACGAAACTGGAAGCCAATTTGAAACGGACTTCAGGCCTCCACAAGCACCTCCAACTCCAAAGTGCCCGATTGATGAAATCGGATCAAACAGTATGAAAATTGTCTCCAGAAGGACAGATAACGCTCAAGTAACTGGACAAGAAGTGTTACTGGAAGAGGTGACTGCTGGAGGAGAACTAGCTAAATCGTCAGTTTTCGTTCCTAACGAAGATTCATTTGTGGTCGAAGGCTTGAAACCGTTCACTCAGTTCCTTATAAAAACTAGGTACGTCGTGCATGATGGTCATAGTTACAGTGACGTCACAGAGAGCCTGAACGACTGTGTTACAAAACCTACTTCCCCTCCCACAGCCCTGAAAGTAACAGGCACCACGGCTACTTCAACCATTTTACTGTGGTCTAAACCTGAACACATTCACCCAGCATTTGCAAAAACTCCAATTAAATACAGAGTAAAGGTGTACAAGGATAGTATAGTGGTCACAGATCAGGAAACCAGCGAGCTGACTAGCTCGGTGCAGGGTCTTCAGCCCGGTACTCTGTACTCTGTCACTGTCACTGCAGAGGTCCTTGATGACAAGACGGCCGGTAAAATCAGTCTTAATGCTAAGGCAGACTTTGCAACTGCCCCGGCCGCTCTTGCAGCTCCAGTTCCAGGTCAGATCCAAGACAACAGAGTGAGATTCCAAGTGAAGGTTGGAGACGTCAGCGTACCGGCAGGAGTGACAAAAGAACTGCTCTCGATCAAGTACTACAAGATTAACAACAATCAGGTTGTTAGTGGAACTGAAGTCTACTACATGCAGCGTCTTCAGGTAAATGTGAAGTGGAAACTAGTTGAATATAATATTATAATAGAGTGTCCTTTCATTTCTGGCGGGTTATCAAAAATAGACAAAAATAACCTCAAATTTTACAGGATCAAGAAAACACCGAGATAGACATTGCTAGTTTTGAAACTGGAACGTCTTATGGAGTGCAAGTTAAACTTTTGGTAATAACATTTATATGTTTTATTCAAATAGGATATATCCTATTTGAATAAAATAATAGAATATTAATTCTATATATAAAATTAATATTCGAAAAGTAATTTTCAGCTCTAGTATGAATGAATTTATTAATTATATATTTAACCTGAGTCCATCATGTTAGAGTTAAACGGTGATTCACAGCACTGCGCAATAATTTATCTTTGATAATTAAATTATCCCAGGTAAAGCAAGGAGATAACATGATAAGCTCAGACTACTCAGATCCAACACTGATCACCACCACCAGCTCCGGCTCTCCGATAGACCACCTCCGGGAGAATATCAGCAACTTCCAGTCTTCTTCTGAACAGCAATTAGACCATGCAAACTCTCAGAAGGACCAGCTCATTTCCACGCTAGATAATACAGAAAAGACGTTCAATGATGCAAAATCTGGAGGGCTACAACAGATTCTTGCAATGTCGCAAAAGATTTCCCTGGATTTCGTGGGAGTTCAGCAAAAATCAAATGGTGAGGTTCGCGGAGTGAGCAGAACAATTTATACATTATTAATTAGAATAAGTAATTTCTTTTAACTAAACGTACAAGATACGTTGCAAGTTATGAAATTGATTTATACCATCTGTTTTCAGGCCTGCAGAAATCAAAGTGCTTCTTGGATGGATTTCAGATTTGGGACCAATCTGACAGTCTATTAAATACGCTATATGTCAACTCGGAGGCTGACTGTCTAGCTAAATGCGCCGATACTGACGGCTGTTCCAGTGCCAGTGTCGAAAACATTAAAAATGGCAATAGAATAACATCACGAAAGTGTCTTCTTGGAAAAAATCGAAATGGCTATATGCTGTATCCTCAGAAAAACTTCATGTCGGCAAACATGTATTGCCAATGTAAGTTTCTTGTTTTCATCATAGCATAATAGGTCTGAAAATTTATTTTATCCATGGAAACTTTTAAATGTAACATTGTTCACAATAATATCTGTTTCAGTGACAGAATCTGCTACAATCGACACCTGGAAAGAATGCGTCCAAGAAAACATCAATTATCCCGGTGCAGAAATCGTCAATTCGGCTGGAATAAGTAATATCGGAGAGTGTGCAGCATTCTGCCAAACTGTGGAGGGTTGTGTAGCAGCTTCGTTCAACAAACCATCCAAGACATGCTACGCTAAAAACAAAAGAAACGGAGACCGGGTCAATTCAGACAGCAATACAGTCAGCATCTCCTTGATGTGCCTAAGTAAGTTGTCAACCTCAAACCAAGAATCAACGATAGAAATGAAATAACATGATCTAAAGTCTAAACTTTTAATTTCTTTCCTTGTCGTAATGATAGAATTTATGTTATAAATCCGCGATAGTTATAATATGACGAAATGTTTACAGGTGCAAACCGAGGTGGAATCAGTCGATGTGCGAAGAGTGGAGTCAGGTTCACTGGATCAGTCATCCATACGACATCAACAGCTTCTCTTGATCTCTGTATCCAGTTCTGTGCTAACAAAGACAACTGTGAGTCTGTGTCATACAACAGTTCTTCAAGGAGTTGCGAGGCACACAACAAGCGACTTGGAGCTAGCAGAGGAAATGTGGGCGGTTGGACAAGCGTCAACATTTACTGCTTGGGTAAATTAACACACGTTTATTATAATTCTCATCTTTTTGACAATATTAGCCCCTATTGCAAAATGTTCATGTTGCGTAATTATGCCTGTTAAGTTGTATATATCAGAGTTTAAAAAATTTAAAATTTAGACAGCGGAACCCTTCACATCAATCTTATAATATAAGCGTATAAGAAAATCGCGTGAAGTTGTGTCTAGCCGACCGATGAAGTGATGACTACAATACTTACCAACATACATTTTAACTAGTAAATCAAGTTGCATGCATAAGATTTTAGGAGATCAGAATATGATCTTTAAATCTGTGGAATACATTTTTCACGCGCATGGCCATGGGACTCGAGTACAAGTTTTATATGCCACGTTTCAACAAAATATAACGTTGTAAATTGTAATCATACTAACAAGTTCAAATATAATGTGAATATTAACCTAATATGTGAATATTAACCTTTGTAAAGCGGAGAATGGCTCTACAAAGAACATCATATGATCAATCAATAAGCCCTTTCAAGTGTTATCTTTGTAACCAACTTATTTGCAGGGTTGCAGCACTTTTAGGATGACTGGTGGCGTTCAAGAGGTGATCTAGAATAATAAAGGTATGGTGTTGTTGATATTAACGAATTTAACCTGATTAAAATCCTATAAAAAATATGTCAAGTGACTGTTTATTGACAAACCAGTACATATTATACGGTTTGAAAGTTTTACCATTGTACAGTTCATATCTCTATACTTCTTCTTTTTAGGTCCGGAGAGAGAATATTCCCGAAGTAGAAACCTAGGACATTCACCTAAACAAAGGAAATTAGTTAGAGTGATTTCATACTAAAGACTCATATATAATCGGATAGTTGTATTTTCATTTTATTTCCAAATTTCACTTTCATTAAATTGTGCAATCTGATTTTCTTTTCAAGAATAAAACGCATAAAATTTATGAATGTCTCTCTGAAATTCAGCTCAAGTAAATAAAATAGTTGTAATTTCTTCGTAATCTCGTATGGTGATGCATTTTGAAAAGAAGTACTATACAAAGTTGTGGTCTTATATCACTGTCCCGCTGACAATGCTGTGGCAATGTGACAGCATGGCAATGTGACAGCGGGTTAGTTGCTTCACAAAGGAGCACTATGCGTTAAAGGTGTGCAGGTCAGACTCTGCAACATGGTGGGTAAACCACCGACACATCATGTAACTGTCACAATATTCAGAGCATATTCTGAGTGAACTGTTTGTGTTCGGAAAGAAATAATTCCTAAATCTTTTGAAAACAATATAATATCCATTCATATTTCATAGCTATAGGACCACAATATCATGGATCCTCCAATTAACATTAAAGTAATATCACAGTCAACATTAACACTAGCAGAGTCACGTTAACATTAAGTTGGGCAAATTTGTTTTAAACAAATCGGGGCCCGTTAACATAAATAACATTCATATCATTTGAAAGAAACCTATCTGAATTCTGAAAGATAAAATCACTTTGTTCAATTTCACGCAAATTGACGCAAATCTTAGAAATTGGTGAATATTAAGAAAACTATCTATGAAACACCGGCACCAAATACGGATACCACTACAAGCAAAATAAAACAAACCCATGATAAAACTAGCCGAATGAACTTTATACAAGATAATATTATAGGCATAGCAAAAGACACTAAAAACACAATATTCATTATTCATGCTAAGTTTGTTTGAAACCTGACATAACGTTCCAATTGACCGTTGTCCGTTCATGCAACTGCCGATTTTCCGCTGGCATGAACTTAAAGTTCGTCTCCGATATCCTAAGAGAGTTCCTGATCTCTGTCACAGATTTGGCAATGTCCGTTGCTCCCTTGCTGTAAGTTTGAGTGTTATTGCTGATGGGGAAAGTCAGGAAGAAACCCCCGACTTTATATTCCGAGTTCGCAACTTGCGGATAAGACGCAATGTTGTTTCTGAAGGAGCTGCTGCTATGGGAACGAATTTGAGCTCTCTGTGATCTTATAGAGGAAACAGTTGAGCATCTATTGGAAATAACTGAGTCCGTCTCTGTGTGGGACTTGGAGTTTTGATCCTGAACAATTATCAGTTAAATTGAGTCGACTTAACGATTTGATCATTTTAATTGTATCCATCGAAATTGATAGCACAATAAGAGTCAGCAAATCATGTTGATGAATAAATTTAAATTCACCTAGTACACATCGGTATAATTAAACTTTTAGCACGAGAATTGTTAATCGAAACGTCGACAGAACAAATTTCCAAAATTTCATAAAAACAATTTTGGACTCACTATGATAGAGCCAGTTTTCTTAATGTCAGGTATTTTAGTAACCCGTCTCTCTATAGCCTTCATTCGCTCTGTCTCCGCAGGATCCATTATAAATCTGTTTCTGAAGACGTCGTCAAAGTGGTTTAAATCCTCTTGTCTCTCCTCTGGATCTGATTAACGATAGATTAAACATTTCATAATATATTTAAAACGGAATAATTTGAAACAGGGTCAAATTATATTAAAAATAAACAATTGAATTTTCAAGAAATGGTAGTTAAAATAGTTTTGATAACGAATACATTTGAAGTGAAGGTGTAGCACCGAATGAACAACAGGGAATTGTGCAATATGACCTATAATGGTGCTAACAAACCATCTGTGCTTGCATTCATGCATTCCAAGTTATAATTGTCAAATAATAATTAATGTAATATTTGAATTGAATTTGTAAAAATTAAGGTGGTCTAGCTGATGTTTATATAATATTATAACTTATGAATTACTGAAATTAATACAAATTGTGTAGTACATTCATACATTATAACACTATACTAGCAAATCTCTAATCTCTACTGCAAATCTGTGACTTGAACACGGGCGAAAAAGGCAAAATATAACGTTTTCCAGAGACGGCATGTTTTTCCTGGCACGCTAAGAAACTAATTTTTCGAAGGAAAATAAAACGTTGACATGTTTTCTTTTTCATTTTAATGCTGATGACATTTTTTACACAAAACAAGAACCTACCTATTGGTGGCAACCGCCTTCGAGTAAACAACTCTGCAATATTGGTTAAAGTTGGTGGCTATTTTAGGCGAAGGTGCAGCGATCAACACCACCAAGTCACCACGATACGGCACAGTGGTGTTGGACGTTACAAATAATTATCCGCAACTTTTCAAAGGCAATTTTCAATTCTAAAAATCTATAATCGTATAACTCACGATAATACATAGTTTAAAATTAAACACCTGCTCATTTTACATTTTACAAGTGCATGGCCTAGAGTGGGGAGACTGAAATATGGAAAAGGTATATTTATTAAGATGGTTACATAACAGCAACAAACCGCTGATTTTCATTATGAAAACTTATGACAGGCATCGACATAAGCTTATAATTTTTTGGATCAGCTGATAACATATCGAAAAATACACGGAACAGGTAGGATTGATAATCTGTAAGACAATAATATAGTCTCTCAGATAAAGTAAATAAACGAAAAATACCGATAACAAAGTAATGCAAATTATGATATTAACCATGAGAAATTTAAGCAAGTCTCCATTTTTGAGTTTGAAGGTCTGATATGACAAGAGCGCTTCGTTTTGTGCACGGCTTTTACTATCCAACCAGACTATAAAATATAACTGAGAAAACCACTGATGTGTGACTCATGATCGCTCTTAACTACATATTTTTAAAGGCTCGGTCGCAATATTCAGTTCAGTTATAAAATTTCGCAACACAATACGGTTACAGTGCTAGGATACTACTTGTCCGTAATTATTTAACTATTTTAATATCTTTTAAGTTATTAGCTTATTATTATCTACTTTTATTTTACTTTATCTTGTGCATATACTATTGCTTGTTGATGGTTGATGGTTGATGGTTAACCTGGTCTGTCAAATGATACCGTATTATATTATCACATTATGCAAGTGAAAGATGGTATATTTGAAGCAATAACCTTACTAAGTTACTATTCTCTACAGTTCATTTTGTCTTGTGCGTCTCCAATAGAATATGCTTAATAATATAACCTATTGCTTGTTGACGATTGACGGTACCACTTGGTAAAATGAACCACTCTACGGTACATCCATAACTATCGATAATATTGGTAACTTAGGAAATAGTGAAGGAAGCCGGATACTTTATGCAATTTGAAGGACAGTGGACAACTAGGCTAAAGATTACAGGACGCAATATCCAATACAGGAGCAGTACGGACGCGATTCTTGTTCTTGCCTAATATAAGGCATGTCCTATAAGAGGAAAAAGAACAATATAAAATAAAGGTTGTAAGCTATGAAGGAGGTGGATGTTGTGTGTGTCACTGATCACTATTCACTACATGACACGTGGTTTGACGACCCAATCACCTTGTTCCTGATCCTGGGATTTCTTTTCAAACAACATTCTGCATTTTTTGCGGAGTTTCTCGTGACGAGCAATGCTTTTCATCATTTTGCTTTGATCTGCTTTGTCACGTCGCAGAACTGAGAGTTCTTTGGTTTGCCGGATAAGTAGCTCCAGTAAATTCTGCTCTGTAGAAAGAAGATCACATACTTATAGAAATCTAAAGCAGTTAAGAAGTTGACCGGTTCAGGATTCAATAAATGTGAACGTAGAAATCTATTAGTTAATGCTCGTTTGTGTTTAAAAACTGTATAGGAGTTGGTTAAAGCTCTAAATTTTAACATTGAGATATTATATAAAAGGCTACTTATAATGCTGATAAAATGCTGTAAGCCTTATACAGGTCACAAATAAGACAATAGCACTGTATAGTGTATATCCATCCACGCACCCTCTTTCAAGATAACAGCTTGTCTGGATAGATTGTTATTTTTTCTGCGGTGATCAGTAACTGGCCGGGGAAGTGTTATCTTCTGTTTTGCTAGGGTCAACAAGTCAACCAACATTGGCAACTTCACGGCTACATCAGCCGAACAGTCATTCCCAAGTGCTGGAGTGAAATTTACCTGAAACAAGTTTGCGTCTAATGGTTATTAAGTTGAACAAAAGAAGGCAAATTGTTGTTCGGAGATGTAAAGTTATCATGCATAGTCTTAAAACCCACAGTAAACAATTGTATTGTTGTCAGTTGAAATCAGTCCATGGCTTGCTTGTTCTTCCTTGACTAGGAGTTGGTGTAACTTTGTTTTTACAGCGACTATCTCACCAACTTCTAGCATTGTGTATTCTCGCAGCTGTCACGTGTAAAACAATGTTAGACCGCCTCCGAGAAACAATGGCATGTCAGGGCCGACTCCGACTGCCCTGACATTTTTTCTCAAAAATTTCCTCAATTCCTCTTATTTCCTCCCAGGCTGCCTGGCAAGATGGCGTGTTTCTGGATGTGGGCAACCCTGATGCGGGACAGGGATGTATGGAGGGGGTTTTTTGGTGTAGATTGGACTTAGTTCCGACCTAGTAGTAGTAGTGGTAGTAGTAATATAATACATACAATACACCACTCACCTCTAAGAGCCACGGTTTAAGTTTTTTGTCAAGTATAATGTCGAAACCATACAGTTCGATACATTGCTTAGCAGATTCTGGTATGGAATTGGCCTGCATCAGTATGGTCAGTGAGATCATGTGTTTGATTCGCTCCCAGGCCAGCCTGTCATCCACACTACACTGTTGAAAATAAGCTCGCAGTTGAGAAATACTCCACCTGTAATAGTGAGGTGAAAATAGCCTTAAAATTGAAGCAATTATTTAACCCTGCGTACAGAGTTGAAAACAATTTTATAATTGATAAATCATAACAAACACTGTTTTGTGGACATCTCTTTCTAAAATGATAAAAAGTGCAAACAATTTACTTGCACCCAGCACCAACTCGTTCCTTTTCCACGTTGTAATTGGGGCCGTTTCTATTGATAGAGGTGTTGGTGAGGTGAGCAAACTTGTTGTGAATGACACTTCCAGCATATTTCTCAGTACTGAACCGGACCAGTCCGTCCTGGTGCAGGTATATTCTCAGGGGGTGATAACTTGTCACCACTGCATATAGTCGCAAGTCGAACTTATATCCTCCTGAAAATGATACAGATATGAGATGATGGTATATTTCTAACGTTGGAATTCAGATATCACAAACATTTTAAGAGATTAACAAAGAATATGATCAAAACATTCAATCGGATAATCACCTATGAGATAAGGGTCCTCTATGTATCGCTGGACCACTGTTGATCCATCGTAGAGCAAATCGCTGATGTTATCAAATAGGAATATACCTCGGCCTCTAGACAAATCTGATGGTTTGCAAATCCAAACCTGTAGCAAAATGTTAAGAAAGGATTATATATTTCTTATTGTATAGATTATTTTTTCAAGCAATCGACGGAATAGATATTATATTTAAGAAATATGGGTACATACTACATAATATGTGAAAATGAGCATTTATCAAGATAGATATTATCGCCTGTATAGGTTCCAAATCAATGCACCAGGTGCATTGATATCACTAGATTTGGAACCTATACAGGCGATAATATAGTGTCATTCACAACAAGTTTGCATTGCACCTAGTTGTCAAAGAGAAAAATTTACTAACTTAGAATATAAAAGACCTGTTTTCCTTTTTTGCTTTGAATTTTAGAAAAATATGATAGGAACTTTGTATAGTCGTTTGGAAGGTTGAATGAAACAGGAAAGAAGTTAAATATTGTCCCATGAACCATCCGCATTCTCTTCAAGCATCGAGCTAGTGAATCTTTCCTTGTGATAGTGTTACCCTGAGTGAAGGTTATAATGTAGCCTGTCAACTCCAAAAATATAGTTTTCAATTGATTGTAGAATTCGTAGTATGATCACGAACATAAGTTAATTTTGAGGTGATCTTTCATTTAGAAAATAACTGTGATTCTTGGATTTAATTGGTCGATGATGCTAGATGATTGGAAAGCCACTATCACTTGAATGACAAATCTATATCACCTCCAATTAGTATTGGCATTAGTTTATACATCTCACCTTTGGGAAGTGATTTAATATCTGCCAGGTTTTTACATTTTTATAATCTGATAGTGTAAATCCACTTCCCCTCCAATACAAGTTCCATTGATCATTTCTATGGGTTTCTGGAACTTCTTTGAACTGTTCTTGGTTCAAAGCTTTAGAGAGAAGCTGTGGGATGCCATTATCTGTCTTATAAAATAACCAGGATGGTCTTTGGTTCATTGCACAACTATTCACATCACACACTACAGGATCATGAATTCTTTTATGGACCAAATAAAAATCTGTCCTATACTGAAAAAGGCGTCCAAAGGCAGCTATTTATGTGAAGGATTATAGTTGATTTCCAACAGTTTACATCCCTGAATAAGTTAAAATGTCATATAATTGTTTTTAATATAGACTATAGAGTTAATGCAAAAGTATAAAATAAATGAAGCTAAACAGTTAATAAATTATTTGCGATCGACATAAGCCGCGTGTCTTATAAAATAATTATCAACTAATCCATACAGTGTACTCTAAATGAAATGCTCTTACCACTTCTACTAAATGGATTGGAAATATTTAAATTTGAGCAGTCAATTGGTTAAAATCATTTATCATCACTATTTATATGCAGAATACAATTGAGTCAGCACCACTCTCCTTACTCAAGAAAACAACAAATTTCCTTATTTATAACTTATATTAGTATATATACTAATATAAGTTATAAATAAGGAAATTTGTATGATATATATAATATTTGTATGATATATGATATATATATATATATATATATATATATATATCATATATCATTAAATTTCTGCACAGTAAATACCTTAATAAAAGATATTTTGAGTAAGGAAGGGTGGCCAACATAACCACGGCTAAATCCGCCAGCTCACGGACTCTAAGGTAAGGAATAGGTTGCTGTTGCTGAAGCATTGAGGTACACCGTCATTTGCTCAGTAGGCAGTCTAGTAATGGAGCTAAGAACATTAGCAACCCTGCAGATTCACACTTATACACTTATACAATAAGTTTGAATCCATATCTCTGAGAATGAGACTTGCATGGTAAAGGGAGTCCATGTTAATTATCACTATACCAGGTCATCGACGCAAATCAAACAGCAAGTTACTTTACATAACAGTTCATTTGCAGCCTTCAAAAAATTATATCTACGACCCCGGTTGACTTTAAGCCGTGACCAGTTTTAGCTCACATACCCTTTGAAATTCATGATTTTTGGTAGGAACCATTCTTCGCCGATAAGGTTTACCGATAAGCGTGGTCAGTGGTGGCTGTATGGACCCAATAAAATAAATATTAAACTAATCTCATTCCAAAGGCCGGAACGGCCGGGCTTAAACCACAACTGTATGACTGTACAGTATTCCAGCAACCACTACATCAACATCCCAATATGGTGGGCAAAATACTTTATATCAAATTTAGATAATTCCTAGATGATAGCTGTTTATATAAATGGACTGACCTTGTAGCACTATGCACTACTGGGCCGCACCGTGCATCAAATAATGGTTATTGTAATCTTTTGCACACTGAGCTGCAAAAGATTTAAATTGTTAATCAAGGACTTGTCGGAAAATAAGCTTGGATACGTTGTATGACCAGCCAAGCGCGAGTGCGCGGCTCCCTGTATCGTAGAATTGATATAGTGAAACGACAATGGAGGTGCACGAAGTAATAAAAATTTTGTCGAAGTAGTGCGCACCAAGACAAGTGATACAAAATAACTTAGCTTGCACTATTTCGAATATTTTGCCTCGAAAATGAAAAATAGAGCGGCCGCGCGCTAATTTGGAAAAAACCCGAGTATTATTTCTCAAAAGTACAGTTTACTAAAAAACAATAATGTTTTAGTAATTTTTGACGAATGTAAATTTTTGGTTAATTGCGCGCATTTCCTTTACCTAATGTAGTATTATTCATAAAATTTTTACAAAAGAGATTCTATTCTATTCAGTGAACGATACCTTTGCTTTTGGAATTATGCCAACATGAAGTCCCCTTTCATTTAACTTCCATTATGACCTGGCGTGGAATTCCCTCTGTGAGCATGCATTTCAATTTTGCTCCCGTAAGAGAAGTGAGCAAAATACCAGCAAGCTAGGTGATCCATTCATGGATTTCTCGATCATTTGACTGAGTCAACCGGAAAAGTTTGCACCAAAATCTTTAGGGTATCTCTTGAGATCGAGGCACGAGCGGATTTCGAATCGTAAACTAGGAAAACAAATTTTTAGGAAAACAAATTTAAATTTTGGTATTTATTAATAACAATCAAAACATATCATATCATAAAAATAAAGCCGCGCGTTGGTTGACTGCCTCAGTAAGGTGAATAATTTAAGCTTGAAGGTTAAATTTAATTTAAAGTTTCTAGAAATCATACATCACTACGAGTTACTCATGCTTTTGGATTATAAGAGTGCGGATTGTCAGGTATTTCATTCATTCATACTTAATCGGTTTAAAGCTGTATATTTAGAACTCACTATTGTTTAAACTACGAAAGCAGAACGTAGATAATGGACAATATACCGACGACAATGCCAAGGACCCGAGTGCCGCATTGACTTTTCCGGATCCGTTTTTACCGAAGGCTTATCCACCAGTTCCTCATGCTGCATGTATAGTCTGATAATATTTTGTCTTATCTCTAGCAAGCATTCTGTAAATTGAAGTGTCGAATTTATTATAGAAGAGCCAGCCAACCTCCGCATTATAATCTTTTGTGTGCCAAGTTCGTTTATAAAATCTAATCATATAATAAGATTGATCCAATAATCTAAGATGAACGGTATATCATAGCTCATCGTTATTAAAATCCGAATGGATGAATTAATCAAGTAATGTTCCCTTTCAACACAACTAAACAACAAACAAATGCTTGCTCACCAGTGGTGACGCAATCGTAGGGGCATGCAGTTGGTTCAGACAACTCTCACCCTGACGACGGCGTCGAGAAATTATCAAATTATGCATTTGCGCCATACTGGACACATTTTATATTTAATATTTTGTGGTTTGTAGAAATTAGTGTTATCTACAGTATAGCTTAACTGGTGAGCAAGCATCGTCCCACTCGGCCGGGACGAAAATACCGAGTCCAATCACAGAAAGTTAACCAAAAGATAAAAATAAGAGCTCGGATATCAACAAAAATCACACACTCCAGACGACGGGGGAAGAGAGGAAAGGAAGTAAGCTGCTGGGCTCAACAAATTTTGATAATTGTAAACAAATTTGTTCTTGTGCCCTATAATAATTTGGTATTGAGGTATGACCCTGTACTGTGCGTGATAGTGAAAATGAAAGTGAATGTGAATCTATAATGCGAACGAAATGAGTTATGGCCAAATGATTCTTCAATTTCAAAATAATAAAGTCAAAGGACTCTGTTTTAAAATACAAGCTCATTCTTATCGAAGTTTAATTCTGTTCATTCTAATTCTTCGTATCTCGACTGTATCTTGAGTTGCTCACTTTTCAGTGTTACTTTAACTAAGTTCGTTGACTTAGTAAAGCTTATCGAACTGTCAATTTTTTATTTTGATTACGAGTCCCTTCAAGCAGTCGCCAACATTGATGCCCTAAATGATTCTATTGGTATCAAATTGTCACCTTAAGTTCTGTCTAATTTGTCTTTATGTTTATTATTTCCGTGGTATCCTTTTGGTATCCATTTGGACAGTTGTTGATGGAATTAAATCGATAAAGTAAAGCTAAGTAAAATTTTAGTTTCAGATGGCAATTATATACAAACCATGAAAGTATAGTCATCTCAAGGGAAAATTCTCCCACTTGCGTTTTCTCGTGGCCTTTTAATCTGATCATTAATGTGTTTTCCCTTATTAACGACCATATTAATTATGGTTCTTGGTCACTGTAATATTCCATCATAATCTGCTAGTACTTTCTTGGAAATTCACACGATCGAACCAGTGGCACAACGCAGAGGCGGCTATTGAGGGCGTCCAAGCGTCCGTGGACGCCCTAAAATTATTATCTGGTGGCTAATGCTTGAAAATAGAAATAGTGATTAGTAATGGTATTCGGAAATATCTAACCGCAATATAAAGCTCTCTATTCATTCAAATGTTCGAATGTAAGCGCACGCATGATCTTTGTGAAATTTTGTGGTGTAGGGTGTCCAATCCTTGTTTGGACAACTAAGACGCGCAGTTTTAACACATAGTTAATTGTAAACGGTACAAAGCGCAAGCACATCAAGCGCATCCACTACAGGTAATCTATATGATTTGGTTGTCCAGGACAATCTGAACTGTTATGATACTGCACGGCTGAGATCGTACACGTGTGTGTCCTGTTTCACTCATGTTATAAGTTTTTGTTTTTGTTTATTTGCTGTCGCCTGTGACACATTACATACATGAGGCACTGTGGCCTGTGTGTAACTATAATGTATGTTAAAGTAAAGTAAAGTAAAATTTAGGACATCACATCATCACACATGTCTACAAAATATCATCGCACTGTGTGAAAAAATATATAATAAATATTTCCCCACCAACATTAATTATTTATCAAATACAATATTTAAAAACAATTTTATCAAAAACATTATAAAATAAATAAATAAAATAAAATACAACATTTATAAACCGCCTTATAGCTAAATCATATAACTCGATATAATTTAATCCTGGAGATAAACTCCAGTGCTTTCTAAAGCGGCTCTTACATTAACTGAGCTTAGTTTAATTGAAAATTAGACATGACAATTTCATTTTACCTATGTAAATGCAAAATCAATCAAATGCTAGAGAAAAGAAGTATGTTTTAAGTTTGGTCTTGAAAGATGTAACTGACTCAGCTGATCTTATGTCGTATGGCAAGGAATTAAATACTTTAACTGCACAGTGACTAAAAGCTTTCTCTGTGTTTACATAGTTAGGAGAGGGCGGAAAACTAAGGTAAAAATAATCATTATCAAGACGTACATTTTTAAAACTTTGCTGCCTAGGAGATATCAACTCTTTTAAGTAAGGAGGAGCTATATTATTTAAACACTTGTAGGCAAGTAGGGCAATCTTAAAATCTATTCTAAATCTAACTGGTAGAAAATGAACTTTCTTAAGTAGTGGAGTAGTGTGTGCCTTTCTTCCTCTCCCGAAAATAAATCTTACAGCAGAATTTTGCACCTTCTGTAAACGACTTAAATCCTTCGTCGGAGTCTCTCAAGGACACAGTCGAAAACTTTAACGTATATTTTCAGGAGAAAATAAAGGCAATACGAAATAACTTTGATCATGTGGAGTCTGACGATCAAACGCCCTCTTACTGCGGAGAAAAACTAGCTGAGTTCTCTCCAACTACTCTAGAAGAACTAGA